TAGCTTTTTAGACCAGTGACAGCACTCTTTGAAAATTTTTCTAAATCAAAGGTTTCTTAAATGGCTTTCGTTTGATATCAAAATTGTTATATTAAATTTAGCTTATAAATTTCATCTAATAACATTTTTCAAACAGGTGGCAACTATTTTTAAAATATTTTTCAAATTAAGCTCTTTAAAAATATTTTCCAAATTAAGTTTTCTTAAGCCTCTTTGGCTTAATACCGAAATTGTTACATTTCTTTTATTGTATCTATTTACTTAACAAAACATTTCAAACAGTTGGCCACTCTATATTTTTATGTTTTGAAACGTCCGGAGTGTATAGCGAAAAAATATAAAGGAATTATTTTAATCGAACTTAAAAATTGTATATACATACCGTCCCGGAATAAAGCAAACAGCGACAAAAACTATACAGGTTTACAAAAAAAAAAGTGTATGCATATTAAACCAAACCCATATATCCCATGTTATTCGAAGTCCGTTAGTCTCCACCACGTCAGGTTCGTGGCCATTTGAAGATCAAGTAGGGAAAAATTCATTGAATAAACCTGAAAATTCAATAAAATTCATCGGAATTTGACCTTGGCATGGCCTCCAGATGACCTTGAGGAATCAAGGGACCTCCATACTCGGTTTCAGTCACAAAAAAAAACATTTTTTTTTTTTAATTTTTATTGAATAAATTTTATGTCCTATTTGACCTTCAAATGGCCTCGAAGCTGATATTATGGAGGTTAACGGACCTCGGATTCGGGTTCAGCGAATGTAAAACCTTATGTATATGAATTTTCAATGAATTTTTCCCTACTTGACCTTCAACTGACCACGAACCTGACGTGGTGGAGACCAACGGACTTCGGATTCGCATTCAGCGTGTCGAATAACATAGGGATATATAGGTGTGGTTTAATATGCATAAGCTTTTTTTTTTGTAAACCTGTGTTATCCAAATGAAAAAGTACTTGGAAACAAATTACTTTGAAAAAGTAAGTGTGTCTGGACCACACTGCATAAGTGAAACTTACGTCACATATCTAATTTTTCTCATAACATTTGCTTAAGGTTATATTTTATCTTTTTTTCTATCTAGATCCCTACCTCTACCATTTTAGTTAGATTATTTTGTTTTCCTTTATCTTTATTTTTATCTTTATACTCTATCGTTCTTACAAAAGTAAAGTGTTTAAATTTACCTTGATCTTCACCTTTGTTTTTTTCTTTTCGGTGACGTGATAAGATGCAATGTGATGTGATTTCATGTGATGTTATCTGATAGATGTTCTGTCATATGATGTAACAACATGTGTATCCATAACAAAATAGTAACATCAATAAAAACATCGATAACAAAATCGATAAAATTATCGATAACGATTTCGATGAAAAATATGTGTACAATTTTTTTTTTAAATATCTATAACAAAATCGATAAAAAAAATCGCTAAAAAATCTATGATAGAAATATCGATAACAAGAATACTGAAAATCCGAAATAGTTCCCAAGGTTGAGTCTCTCTGTCTCTATCCATATCTTTTTCTTTATAATTACCTTTATTTTAATCCTTCTTCCTCCATCTTCGTCTTTACTTTTATCGGTATCCTCATCCTCTCTTATTCTTTAATTTTTTATTAGAACATTTTTGTTAAATTAATACCATCTGCATAAATATGTTTAAGAAGCACTTGATTTCGTCCCAACCATTTCCGTGTGCAATTTCCGTTGAATTTGCCAATTTACTCCCAACCAACCAACCGCCATTAAAGAAGTTTCACTTCAAAAATTCACTTGCTTTCAAGAAAAAGGGAGGAATTTCAATTACATGTAGTTAATAAAAAAGTACTCATTAAATTGCTTTTAAAGTAGTTGAATATCCTACAGGGTAATTGACAATAGGTTTCGAACAAAATGTGCAAATTTTCAACGTTGCGCCCTCTGGTGGAAGTTTTAGGAAAAAGGTAAGTGCAGAAATAGATTCCTCTTACCAAAAATCCTTTCGGGCATGTTTTATACAAAATTTAAGCACTTCTTTACGGCACTACAGAAAATGCCAGACTACACGTAGAATTCTTATGTGATATACCCACTTAAAGTGTTCTTACACGATATGTATTTCCATCTGTAAAGGTAATTGTTTCGATACACATGTATGTAACTGCATCTGCCTGTCAAATTCAGAGTATTTAATTAACTGTTAAAAACTACAGAAACAAGTCTAATTTGCCTTTGCACGATATGTTGGCATTTCCATATGTAAAAAGTGGTACGTACACATGCAAATACACATATATCGTGTAAGAACACTTTTAGTCGAAAAAATCTCCCATATAAATTGACCCGCCCTAATGTTTATGTACATTTAACTAAATATTCTAACGTAATATGTCATCAGCCGAACCTACTGAAAACACATAGTACTCCCACTAGCTTTGTCAGCTTTGTAGCTCTTTAAGTTTTCCTTTTCTCTTACGTTCATAGTTGACCTCTCAGCCACATACTTTGAAAGAACTATGCAATGTACGATATTTAGCGCTTTTCCATTGTCAAAAGTACAAAACTAATTTGCCACTTCTAATTACTTAGCCTGGTAAAGTGCACAATGTACCACTTTTCTGAATATTTGGTATTCCTATTTTTTCAAGAAATTTCTCATTTGCTGGAAAAACCGTACAATACAAATAATCACATATGTACATACATATACTACAAACACGGATTTAAAGCGTTGGTTCGTGGTTTTCTCCAGTTATCGGGCATGTTCTGAAATTTCTACGATTTGAAATCGGTACGATTTAGGAAATATTTTCATAGATTTTCGATCGAAAAATTCAGAACTTTGTATTGTAACAGCTGATTTAGCATTGCCGGTGTTTCTTTCGTAGTTTTTCTCTATAAAATATTCGATATTTTCGTGAAAATGTACCAATCTCAAATCAAGCGATTTAGGGAATACGCCTGTCAACTAAAAAACTAAAACAATTGTGATCTACACAAATATTTAACCCAGATGATAAAACTGTTATCAATCTTCAACTTGACTCTCTACTCTTGGCAAAGAGTGATTCAATCACTGTTATTGTTTTCTAGTTAAAGATGCGGAACAAAATGAAAGAGTAAAATTTAATATTTTCCTATTTGACATAATGCATAAGTATCGCTAATATTTGTTACAGAGCATTAACGAAAAGCTGGCGATTATATTATTTTTTTTTGTTTTGTGAATTATGATATTCTTCCAGCCAACTAAAAATATGCTGCCGTTAAATTTTTCAGCTGCAGTAGCTTTGGCATGGCTTGTATACAGAATAGAGTAAGTGTAATTTACGCATTAATTATCCACACATTATACGCACTTATGTAGTTAAATGGCTTCTGAAACAAAAATTGCCGCACATTTGGTTATGTGCTGAAAGTTTCTTGGTTTTTAAATTATTTTGTTAAACACTAATTGGTCTTTTTAACATTTATAAATTATACAGAAAGCCAGATGTGACATGAAGCACTATGGAATTTTAAAATAAATTAAATAAACAAGTCTAGCGAAGCTACTATTCTGCTGCCTTTCTTGAGCGTGTTGAATTTTACCTTACTTTGTATAAAGAATCACAAATAAAAAAACATATGAAATTGCTTGCATCTGAAGGAGCCTTGAATGAACAAATGTAGTACGAAATCGACTAAATTTTTTTGGTAAAATTAGAACCTTTCTCTGCTTTCTTTCAACTACATACACGTATACTACAACAGTCTACTAATCGAACATTTGGACATTGGGCGAGTTTGTGAGTGAGTATGGCTTTTAATCTTTCGCGCTAAAACGGCAACACGTATTGCAAAGCAATTTGTCGCACTGGTAGTAAAGTAAAAAACCAATTAATTAATAAGTTTAATAAAATGGTACAATAATCTTTAGATATTCAAAACCATTTTAATTTGCAAGTTAGGTTAAGTTATCAAACGACAGAGGTTTAAAAAGCTTTTATTTATATCAAGAGGGTTGCCACATATATAGAAATTCTGAGTCAATACAGTTAGCAAGTTAAACCAAATGTTTTAATAAGGGTTACAAAGGAAAGAGATTTTTGTAAAACTTATTTGGAAAATATTTTAGGGTAGGGTTGCCAACTGGTTTTTAATTCAATATCAATTTATTTGGCAAGGAAAATTTAAAATTTTAATAAAAATATCATTATAAATATTTAAATTTATAACATACTTTCAAAGAGGGTTGCCATCAGTTTAAAAATTTTACTTCAATTCAATTAGAGGTTATAGGAAATATTCAAATATGGTGTCTCCAAATATTTTTGATGAGGGTTGCTACTTCTTTTGTAAATCAAATTTAACTTAGCTAATTAGTCAATTGAAATAATACATCGAGGTGAGTATTTACGATAAATTTTTACACCACATTGTTTTGAAGGCATTTTATAACAGGGATGTTACATTCCCAAAATTTATGTACATACATTCTTCCCCGTAAATTTAACTAAAATATAAAACTTAGGCATGGACACGAAACTAAAATCGTATTCCTAACGCGAACAAATATTCATTCGATTTATAAAGTTACTTTTCCCAAATTCGAAATATGCAACAAATCTTAAAATGTTCGAAATTTTTAGCAGCTACCTTTCACACAGTTTTTTATAAGTTGTAATATTTTGAAACTGTGGTGAAAAATGTTGCTAGCAGAATGTTGCCAACATGTTTTGAGCCTTTTCACCTAGTGACAAGAGTGCAACTTTGTCGTGAGGAATTTCATGCGTATTTCACAGCAAAAAATTGTATGGTTTTTTTTCGTGTGAATTTGGATCAAAGTACTAGATATGCTTGAAACTATGATTTGTTTTATTAACATTATAACCGTTACGCTCGCTGCTTAAAAGGACTCAAATATTTGGCAAAACAAAATACCTTTTAAATATCAGAGCAAGCAAATGAGTGCAAAATTGAAAATAAAAATTACAATATATAAATGTTTTTGTAAACTTACCATATCGTCTGCATTAGAGCGTTTGGGTCCAACACTTCCTAAGCACAGTTTTAAAGAAGCTGAAAAATTAAATACAAAAATATGTTATTATAAGACAACATTATTTAATCTAAAAGTTGTGGAACATTTTTGATCACTCATGTAAATTTTAAAGTATTGTAAACATTGTGATTTTCATTACTCGGATCTTCTTCATAAAGTTAAATATTGGCATCATATGTATTTACGAGTACTACACCTTTGGGTTCTAGCCTCAAAAATCACTGGTATGAATTACACTTAAGCTCACAGCGTAAAATATGTATAAAGGTAATTTTAACTATTCTTGCTTGCTATGCGCATAATTGATTTAAATTAAAACTAAAATTTTTGCTTTCAAAGCTGCCCTTTTCCTTCATCCATCCGCCACAACAAGGCCACAAGTAACACTTTCACTATTAAAGGAAGTGCATTCTACAGAAGTTTATTGCTGTTGTTGTTCGCTTTGCTATGGTTATTCTTGTTGCATTAGCAAAATTGTCGGCACAAAGTCGTCGTCGACGTACTCGTGAAATTCCCTAAACGTTGTTAGCCAAGCATATAATAAACACATCTCCACCGACAACGACACCGCGCACGTCCACAGACCCACAAACCCCCCAACCCACAAACCCCCAAAAATCTTCTGTTTCACCTGGATTTTGTTTAGTTTTTGAAGAGCGTACGCTAGAAAGGATATTAAACAGCCATTATCCTTTTACCAAGCGCTGCTCACAAAAACAAAGTAGGTAAAAAAAACACCGCTAAGTTGTTTTGCTTGAAAGTTTTCACAAAGAGTTCAGCTGCATTTATTGCCCAAGGAGACAAAAAGTTTAAATGTGTGTGTGCATAATGTGAAAGAAGCAGTGGGTAAAGCGAGCAGTTAGTGGAATGAGGGAAAAGAAAGCGGGAATGTTACACAAAGTACTAAAGTACGTACATGCAAATATATGCAGTTGGGGCCGACTTATACGAAAGTCTGTAAGAAAGTTAGGCATGCGGCATTTTATCTTGCTCACTCACCGCCTTTACAACGCTGTGCCATAGATATTTTAGTAATGGGATCCTTGTGTAAATGCATATTTACATACATATATTCCTTTGTATGCACATAAATATATTGAGCTAACTAAAAGCAGTGCAAGCATTTGATATTCAGCAATCTTTCTATAGTTGTAGACTTGTATACACAGTGCAACGCTGAAGTGCATCTTCATCTACAAAATTTTTTATACACACTTTTGCGTCTTTATTTGAGATTTAGCAAAGTTATCGGCGCAAATTCAGCTCTCTTTAATTAGATTTTTAAAGGTCTTATAAAAATCTGCAATTAATTACACAGGTCAACTCCCATAGCATATGCCATGCGACTCTTAAGTATGGAGTAGATTCTGTAAAATGAATTTATTCAATGCTCGCACAGAGGGCAATTACGATTCAGGCAGAGGTGAGGTTCATAGTGATTTGGAAAAATTAGGGGAATCATCGCAGAAAAATTAAATTTGGTGTGCTGTTTCAGAATATGTAAAGTAAGAAAAATTCGAAGTTTCGGCAACATCTGTGCAAGGACATGGCTACCTTCCAAACATACTTAATTTTTTAAGTTTAATTTTTGTTACAATTATAAGCAGAATAACGCCAAAAATTGGTAGCTGTCTGTAAATTTATTTCCTTAAGCTATTTGGCAAATTTCGTTTTGTTCTGCGCACGACATGACTAACTCCCATATATCCTTTTTCTCAACAACTAGTTTTTAGCTACATTTATTTGTGATCATAATGTACTACGCATTTTAATTCTTTGGCAAATTTTATTTTATTTGGTATCAGGAAATGACACCCTTATAAAGTTTAGTTATTGAAAAAATATGTATATTTTTTCTTTAAAAATGATCATAAATAAAATTGTTTCTAAATTTGCTCAATAAATAAGATAACTTATTTCAAATTTAATTTACAATGTTGTCTTTTAAAATGTTTATCTCAATTTCTATAAACTCATAATTTTTCTTTTGTGATTTTTGCTTTTTTTCAGGCGATTATTGCTGATGACCACAGATATATCAATTTCAATACATGAATAAATAAATGCGTACTAATTTATTTTATCGAATATTTCCGTCAACTCTCCAAATACTCAACCCGAAGTTTTCATAATAGTTTCATAGTTCCATCCTTTATGTTTAGTTTATCTTTAACAAAACTTTGGACTGTGAAAATTTCTATTACTTATTCGTTGCACTCACTCTCAAATTTCTAGCTTCCAGTGTGGTGGGAGATTTATCTATTAACCATATTTCTTTTTAACCAACTCTCAAAAGCTTGCGGTCAAAGCAAGGCAACTTTCTCATTCCAGCGGGTTGCTGCTATACGAATTACGTTAGTAATAGCTGCACCATCGCAGACCAGAAACTTAATCCCATCACAATTTATCATTTTCGGAAATGCAATATGCAAAAGCTTACTTTGTTTGTTTATTAAAATCCCTCAGCGGTGTATGAATGGTGCAATTGCATAAATGTGTCGAAAGTTTATGTCCAGCCGAACAGAAACACACACACTGTGGCTCAAACAATTCGGCACGTGTTGATGTTTCTAAAATATTCGCAATGTTTTTCAAGTTAAACTTTTCTTATTATTTTTCTATACAAATTATGTCCAAGATTTAACCAAAGGCGTATAAAGCTAGAAAATAATTGATGCAACCTCACATATGCGGTTCTGCATTTTGTTGATACGCGATTTTGTACTTTAAACGACGATAACAAAAAAATAAAAATGTTGTAAATTTTCAAGGATATTTAAGAGCAAAATTTGTAATGAACATTTTCCATATCCATTCGTCCTTATGCACCACAAACTTTTCTGGTATAATTCTACAGAAGTTTTTCTTTTACATACATGATATCCTTATAGTTACCCTACAATGCATTGAATTTTTTTAATAATTTTTTGAAATAGTAATATTCAAAGTCCTTTTAAAAGATCCTGTCATCAGAGAGAAAAACTAAGCGCAGGTTTACTATAATTTACCCATAGTTTCTCGAATATATTCATTATTTTTTTGTATGTACAATTTACTATCGCACGGTGTTATAATACTGTCCCTCTGAATTTTCCATTAGTTGTTTTGCTTGCCTAAGGGCATTGCAGTTGAGAAGAGCAAGAAGGTTTTGAGCGAATGACATAATAAATAACTTTAAACAAGCAATTATTTTGTGTTTTAAGTGTACGGCTAAATATTTTCTGAATGTCACTCAGTTTTTAATGCAAAAAACACCAAAAAAAGATAATTACCAATGTCTGTTTATTGCTTAAGGGGTTTTAAGGATTTCCTTGTTTTTATATTTTTGTGAAAAAGACGCTTGGGAAAAAACACAAAAAAATATGAAATGTTTTCAGAATGTAATTTTTTAGGTGAAAAGGAATTTTTATTTAAATATGTTATTTGTCGAAAACTGTTCAAATGTCATATATGGAAAATTCTTGCCGAAGAAAGATTAAATAAAAGGCCTGCCTCCCAAGAAAAGCCATGACATGAAACCATGAAAAATGTCGTGGGAAAAACTTCAAAATTAGCTTATGAAATGTATGATTTAATGTTAAAAATCAGTACAATTCTTATAGGTTAGTATATTGTTCTCTCACAGTTTCTTAACGTATTTATTCCTTTAGCTTACTTTTAAAAATGTGGCATTCTGAAAAATATTTTACAAAAATGTAAAGATAAGAAAAAAATAATAATTTTTGAAGAGCCTGAAAGCAGTTTCGTATTCTGCACAAATTTTAAAGTCGGTAAACTATTTCCGAGGATAAATTTGCCAATCGTAAAAAACATATAAAAAATAATTGCCATGCACACCTTCGCCTTTGTCCTTATACTAGTATTTAAATTTATCTTCATCTTCATCTTTGTTCGTTCTCATCTTTGTCTTTAGCTTTATGTATCTTTTTAATTATCTTTGAACTTATCCTTTTCACTTTCATGTCATCGATTTTTAAATTCAATATTTTTTTTTTTTTTGTAGAATTTTGTATGTAAATAAAAATAATTATTTACTTTTTAAATACAAGTCACACTATAACCAAGACTATTAAAAGTTTCAAACTTTGTAAAAAATTTAGAAAAAATCATAAAATTTTAATCAAAATATCAAAGTGCATGCGAGCATGCGTTACATCGAAGGAAACTACTCAAGATCGTCCGGAAACAATTTTCAAAAATCACCGAGCATTTTGGGCTACTTAAAAATTACATATTATCAAACTAAAATTGAATTGATTATTAAACTGCATACCAAACATTTTTGTAAAAAAAAAATTATCAAAATGTTTGAAATTTCTTGGAAAGTTTTAAGAATTTTTTCTAAATTGTGTACAAAGTTTGAAGCTTTTATTTAAATATTCTTTGTAACAGAGTCAGCTATATTAAACAAAAAATTGAATTTTTGTATCAATTTACGAAATTCTACCTCATTGTTTGAAAAAGTCGTGCTAAGTTTTACGGGTAAACAGAAATTAATGTTACTCATACGCCATGTGCCCATGCGTTTGATCAAACTTAATAGGAAACAAGTAAGAGCAGCGCTGTCTTCGGCTATGCCGAAGGCTTCATACCTTTCATGAACATCTGCAAATTTTACTTTGACAGATTACTGCTTTTGAATACATCTGCATACATCGATAGGGGAATTACATACTTATATAAAAAATCGCATCTAAACAATCAGAGGTATGGAAGATATACTTTATATGACACCAATCTAAGTGATTTTCACCGCTATGTGATCGGTATGTAAACCGGTAACACAATTTATTGGGTTTAGTTTCGTACATAAAGGAGATATATGGCAAAAACTGGTATCTTAACAATCAGTGCTATAGGAGATAAAGCTTATACAGCATAGATTTTGACGATTTTCTCAGTAGACTTTGTATTACTATTTATAAAATATCTTACGAAATTTATCGGTTTTAGCTGTTCAAATAAAGGAGTTTTACAGTAAAATCCCATATCTGAACAATCAGATGTATGGAAGATA